ATTGTTTTCATTTGAGTAAAAGGAAACTCTCAGGCATAAAGAAATTAACATTTTAGCTATATCCAAAGTCAAGTTTAAGTAGTTAGTCCACCACCTAAGAAACCTATTTGAGAACTCCAGAAAAAAATTCACCTTTAACATCATGATTTTTTAATTTGCTATTTGCACTGTCCTTTACACGCACATTTCAATCACAGATATGATTGCAAATACATGGCTATAATTTGGTCTTTCAAGACAAGTATTTGAGCCTCAGACACTCCAAGCCATTCTGAACAGCCTACTAAATTTACTGTAAGGAATGAACACATGCAACAAAATGCATTGTTCTGGTTTTAGCAGCAAGTCACACAACACAGTGTTTGAACTGTTGCAAATTTTTGTTGTGTGCAAAAGCACTAGTAGGTCTTGGCAACAGACAGGCATAATGGAAATCTGGAAGAGCCCCTGTTTTTCAGCAATCTGCTTCCAGGGCAAGCACAAAAAGAAAAACAGCAAATAAAAGGCCACATACAATCTGTAGATTGCACAAAACTGTAGCACAGATACTTTACTACTTCTGACTTTCATTCTGGCATTCTAAAGCCTTACTTTCCTGAAACATACTGTAAAGATAAATAAAGTTAGGAAAATTACTTTTTTTCACTTGGTCTGGTTACAGGGTAGTTTAACATTCTTGCTGAATTAAAGCATAAATATAGAAAAGATGTTTTTGCAGTCCTTTATGTTAGCATAACAAGTCAGATTTTGAGGAAGGCTCACCATCAGAACTACTACTTCCTATCTGCTATTACAGCTGGGTCCACCATCAAACTTCAAGCTTGAAACCTGGAACAATCATTAACGTGTTGAGAATACAAGGCAAAAACAGAGGGAGGCTTATAAAAGCTCATCTGTATTTGGTAAGCCAGGCAAAAGTATGTTTGCCATTAATCTCAGTGGAATATCGCAATTGCTGTTCGGCAGCCAACACCTTTCCATGCCAACTAATCCGTTATCAGTTTGATATTAGAAAGCAAGAGGCCATATAAGGATTATGCAAGACTGAGAACCTCAAAGATGACAGCTGTGCAAGAGGCTGCTGAAGTCCCAGTATGATTAGGCTCCTCAAGTGAACCATGGTGAGTAGATATATTCCTCTTGCCAAACAGACGTTGAAATTTGCCATCAACCAAAGTATGGTCTTGCAAGTGCCAGTACTTCACCACTCCCAGTGGTGAATTCATAAAGACTTGTAAAACGCTGCCTAACAACTCGTTTGTTAATACAGGCTTGCTGTGATGGAGAACCACATCATTAACCCCTCCAACACATGTAAACAGATTGACTGTCCCACAAGTTATTTTTTCATTTCACCTAACTGCTATTTTCACAGCTTGTAAGACTGTTCACCACATTCCTTCACCATCCCTTGGGCTGTATGACTGCCAGTTTGTGGGCTACAGGACAGCCACAGCCGCTCCGTTTGACTGGACGAAATCAGGCCAGATACATAATTACCAAGATTTCTGTTGGATGTTTTAATTTACAACAATATCTGAACATGTCACAAAAACCTACAGCTGAAAACAATAAGCAGCAAGATAAGCCTTGCAAGACAGAAACTGCACGATCATGAGAGCCAACTGTGGAAAACGGAATGCCCAAACTATGCAAAACACCGGATTGTTAGCCTAATTTTCTCAAGATGTTCAGCACAGAAAGCTGCATTTTGCACTCTACTGTTTTCATGCATGTACAGAGACATTAAGTGGAACGGACAGACAAAACACAGAGCTCTCAAGCAGGTTTGGCTTGTAAGGCATGTAGTTTTCCTCTTTCAACTTGTTGAGAACACCTTACCAGTTCATCCAGCCTTCTCCTTCAAGAATTACAGACAAGAGTGAGACCCCACCTGGAATACTGCATTCAGCTCTGGAGTCCCCAACACAAGAAGGACACGGAACTGCTGGAGCGAGTCCAGAGGAGGGCCACGAAGATGATCTGAGGGCTGGAGCACCTCTCTTGAGAAGACAGGCTGACACAGTTGGGGCTGTTCAGCCTGGAGAAGAGAAGAGTCCACGGAGATCTTCTAGCAGCCTTCCAGTACCTAAAGGGGGCCTACAGGAAAGCTGGAGGGGGACTTTTTACAGGGGCGTGTAGTGACAGGAAAAGGGGCAATGGCTTTAAACTGAAAGAAGGGAGATTTCATTTAGATCTAAGGAAGAAATTCTTCTCTACGAGGGTGGTGAGGCACTGGAACAGGTTGCCCAGAGAAGTTGTGGATGCCTCATCCCTGGAAGTCTTCAAGGCCAGGCCGGATGAGGCTTTGGGCAACTTGGTGTAGTGGAGGGTTTCCCTGCCCATGGCAGGGAGGTTGGAACTAGATGATCTTTGAAGTCCCTTCCAACCCTAACCATTCTATCATTTTATAACAAAAAACAACCAACCAACTAAACAAAAACAACCCACCAAAAATCTGCACCCAAAACTCTTTTCTAGAAGTAGGAAAACAAAGTATTTCTCTACAATCACTACCAAATCCATGACACTACAGATCGCATACTGAAAAATAACAGTCTGCACCAAAAACTCAACACAAATAAAAAACACATAATGATGTTGTAAGAGTATCCTCTATTGGGAGATTTGGGAGTGTGGACGCCATTTTCTGCTCATAGGAATACAGGAAAAATTAGGAAGTATGTATTTAGGAAGGAATACAGCTGCAATCCCTAAATAAGCAACTGCTATTTAGCACTCCATAATTAGCCATCACCTAATAAACATGCTATCTTCCACCTTAAATCAACAACAGACTCTTGGCAGAAGTAAATATATTTGTGTTCATTAGACACATCTTACTACCTAACTTTAGAAACTTAAACATACATTTAAAACTTTTCTTCTACTGGATAACGGCACTTGCCTCTTTTACAGCCTGAAGGGCATTAATGACAGTTTCTGTTCCAATGAATCCTACATCAAAGAAAATGTTCTATACTTTTTTTCTTCTCTAGAAAAAAAGGCACGGGTAATGGCAGTAGTAGAGAATTTGAAAACCACGACACCTTTGT